AGCTGGGGCCTGGGTCCCGTGGACAAGCAGGAGCCCCCACAAGCACCATCGCACTAAACCGTGGGATCAGAAGAGCCATGGCCCGAATGTGCATCAGCACTGGGGACACGTCCTGCCCCCGGCAGCTGGTACTGGTGGTGGATGGGCTAACAGGGGAGGAAAGGTCCACAACTTCAGACGCAGTCAGCTTTCAGCAAAGGGAGGGGGGCAGCCTCCAGCTGCAGGGAGGGACGTGGCCGGGGACAAGACAGGAGAGTTCGGGGCCAGGTCTGGGACAAGTGCCGGCCCCTCTCGATTATCCATGAAAGAGGAACAGGAACCCAAACAAAGCAAGCCAACAAATAACAAACGCCATCAGTGCAAAGGGAAGACACTGAGAAATGCACGCGGAGAAGCCGCTCTGACAGGAAACTCTCCACCGCCGGGAGCTGACAGGCAGCGGCTCCCGGGCTGGTGCTGTGTCCGCAGGCAGGGCCTCTCCTGGTCCCCGCGGGCAGACCCCACAGCCACCTCTCTCTGTCTCCTCAGGCCCCGCCTGAGCCCTGCCTGGACCAAGGTGGTCTCCGAGAAGAGGTCATCTCTGGAGAAAAGCAGCGCCACGTGCAGCCTGGCACGTGAAGAGTGGGGAAAACCACGGAAAAACGCTCACGCCTGCAGCCCCAGCAGTCGGGGAGGCTGAGGTGGGAGCACCAGTTGAGGCCAGAGCTTGAGACCAGCACACTCTAACTCCACAGAAAATGTCAAAAGTGGCCAGGCCTGGTGGTACCTGCCTGTAGTCCCAGCCACGTGGGAGGCTGAGGTGGGAGAAGCACTCGAGCGCAGGATGTCACGGCTGCCATGCGCCACGAATGTGCCACTGTACTCCAGCCCGGGCAGCAGAGCAAGAGCTGTCTCCAAATAAAACCAGAAAACATCAGACCACAAAGCAGGTCTACACAACAGCCGACATGAAGCGCCGGCACACGAAGACATCTACCTGGGATCAGCATGTTAAGAAAAAAGACAAAAAGCCGGCTTGTCTCCACAGAGACCTGAAGTTTACACAGAAGAATCTCAAGGACCTTCCGGGGTTGGAAAATGCATGGACCCAGGGAGTAGTTTACCAGCAGCCTCAGCGCAGCACGAGGCCAAACAAGTGGGGTCAGAAAGAAGCCGAGCGCCTACAAAGAAAGAGCAGAGTTTGGGGCAGGCCTAAGACAGCTCAGCAACCTCGGAGACGCGCAGACGAGTCACAGAACAGGCAAAGAGTGAGGCGGCGGCACAAGCTCTGAAGAGATGAGAGCCAAGGATTCTTCAAAACTGACGACTGACGCCAACCCCAGAGCCAGGGCGCTCGGGCAAACACAAGGACACACAAAGGCACGTGTGCACACGCACATCACAGTAAAACCAGTTCAAAAAAAGAAGGCCGGGCGCGGTGGCTCACGCCTGTCATCCTAGCACTTTGGGAGGCCGAGGCGGGTGGATCACGAGGTCAAGAGATCGAGACCATCCTGGTCAACATG